TTCCCTCCCCCCCCCCCCTTTTTCCCCCCTGGTTGGGCCGGGCCCTCGGCGGGCGCCGCGCGCGCCGCGCGCGCCTGACCCCCCCCCCCCCCCAGGTCCTCGAGAAGCTTTGCGAGATCGTCGTCCCGATGGGCGCCAAGAATGCAAAGATGCTTGCCGTCTCTGGCGCCTTCCACACGCCCTACATGCAGCCCGCCGCCGACGCGCTGGGCAAGGCGCTCGACGAGGCGCCGATCCAGATGCCGTCCATCAAGGTTTACTCCAACGTGACTGGCAAGCCCTACGCCTCGGTCGACGAGATCCGCGGCCTGCTCAAGCGGCAGCTCTGCGAGCCAGTCAAGTGGGAGCAGGGCACAAAGGACCTCGTCACGCTCGGCTGCACCTCGTACGTTGAGCCGGGCCCGGGCAAGCAGCTCAAGGCCATGATGCGCCGCATCGACAACGACGCCTGGAGCAAGACCACCACGCTCGAGGCGTGAGAGAGGTCGCTTGTGCACGCACACCCTCCTCGGCGGCGCGATCTGTGCATCTGCACTTTTGCTTCAGAGGCCTTTTGCTTCTGGCGGGGCGCGGTATCACACGTGTTAGTTTACAGTTATGTGCAGTCTGAAACTTTCCGTCAACCCATCATCCACACCCTCTAGGCCTAGCGCCTAGGGGCTCTGGCCTCTGCACCGCCTGTGCGCACGCGACGGGATGTTCGCCTCGGTTCACGGTTGGCGCGGCGCGCGCATGCAGACATCACCAGACATCACAGACACACAGTCCGGTCTCAACCCCGCCACACGGTTTACAGGAACGGAAACGGAAAGGTGTGTAGAGTGCACGCACAGCAGTGGCCAGTGCGGCCCGGCTCCACCTCACCGCACCGGGTCTCTGTTCTCTCTGTGTGTCGATATGGACGAAGGCGCCGCCCCCACCCGTCACTCGCCCGGCACCGACACAGCGTCCACGGACTCGAACCCCTTGATCTTCTCCCCGCGGCCCTCGTAGTGCCGCTTGAGCGCCAGGGCGAGCTCCGACAGCTCCTCCTCGGGCGGCTCGGCGGGCGCCTCCGCCTCGCCCAGCTCGCGATGGAGCCAGCCGATGATCGCCATCCGCTTGGCGCTCGTGTGCCTCACCTCGTGCGGCACCGTGTCCGACCGGAAGACGACGAGCGTGCCCGCCCGCGGGGCGATGTCGACGTGCTGCGCGGGCGAGAGCAGCGGCGAGTGGCCCGCCGTGAAGTCGGCGAGGAGGGTGCCGCTGCCGCGCACGCCGCTGCCAGCCTCGAAGACGCGCAGGTGGCCTCCGTCGCTCTGCCGCCACCCCTGGTTCGGCAGGGCACACGGCCGTCAGCCGGAGCGCGGCCGAGATTGCGCCGAGACCGCGCCGAGGTCGAGCCTGGTTGAGGTACAGGATGAACGACCACTCTCTCGCCAGCCTGCCGACGTTCATCGCGTCGATGTGCCTCTGGTAGAAGCCGCCGGTCGGGTAGAAGGCGTACTTGAGCCTTCGGACACGTGCCGAGGGACGTGTCACGGACGTGTCCGAGTGTCTGCCCTGCCCTCTCACGGACGTGTCCCCGAGGTGCCCGCCCTGCCCTAGGATTCGGCGCACTCGGTGTGAGCCTCGGAGAGCGTGGTGCCGCTGAGCTCCTCGAGCGAGCTCTGCAGTCCAGACACGAGCTGGAGGAGGGCCGCACGGCCGCCTCCCTCGGCCGGGACCGGCGGCGCCTTTGGCAGCAGCTCGAACCACTCCACGGCGCCCCGGTGTGCAGAGGCGGAGCGGCCGGGAGATTTACGCAGCAGGTTGATGTCGTCGACCAGCGAGTCGACGAGATCGCGCGAGAGGAAGGCCGGGATCGCCACAAACGACCGCTGCCTCAGCTCGGCGAGCGCCCGCTCAGGGAGCAGAGGCGGCGAGGCCGTGCCCAGGCTGAGCGCGATAGAGACTCCCAAGCGAAGCAGTAGCGCCGTCGTGCGCGCGGAGGTCATGCGGTGCGGGGAGGTGCAGTGGAATTCAGCTGGTGGAACGCTGGGCAACACAGGAGAGCGCCCGCGCGTCTTTTCAGGCGTCTTTGTTTGTTCACAGCACGCCTCGTGAATAAACGAGGATCAACGCACTCTTTTCCCGTGCCGCTGTAAGTAAAAGAAAAGTAGTATCCGAGGGGGCCGAAGCCCTTGGCGCCACCCGAGCGCTCACATGCGTGCAAGCCCCACCCGGCTGGCGGGTGGACCAAGGGGCGTGCCGCCCCGCTTGCTCTCCGTGAAACGTCTAAAGGACGAAGATGCACGGAGGTGCGACCAACTCAGCACGACGGGCGGAAAAGTCGGGCACTAGACCAGGAAGGACTGGGAGAGTGTGAATGGAGGGACACGTGTGGTTCAGACGTCCCCCCCCTCGACGTAGTCGAGTCACTCACATGGATAGAGAGGAAAGTGTCCCTCTCGATGGGGCATGGACTGGATGACATGCACTGGAGAGTCTATGGCTCTCGCGGGTGGGGGGTGGGGCGGCACTGTCCGCACTCGCGGCCGGCGCCCGCGCCCCGTCTCGGTGACGGATCGGTGACGGAGATTCACTTCCCATCCGACTGGGAGGAAGGCTCCTTGACATTCATGATCTTGTCCCGCAGCTCGAAGAACTCTGGGCCGGCGCGGGGCCCCCCGGAGGCACCGTGCGCCGCGCCGCAGTGCGGAAACGGGGCTCCGGCGCTCATACTCGCTCATACTACCAACTTCCCGATCTAACCCGGTCTAACAGAGGGCAGATTTGGAGAGATCTCGAGGAGTACATACAGATAGACCCTCCAACCATCAGAAAACTCCGACCTGATCGGTCGTACTGACCGCCGACTGATCACTCCAGACAGCAGACAGGCCGACGTCTGCACGTGGCCGGCCGGGCGAGAGGCTTGACACGATCCGACCCTGCGACCCTGACGCTGCTGCTCTAGCTATCAGCCATGCACTGCTGACTGCTGCCACAATGTGCGACCTGTGCTGGCCCACTTGGCGGCCTTCCCGGTCAGTGGTGAGGCGCAGTTCAGAGCTGTCGATGGCGCGATGCCGCACTGGTCCCACATTGGTGACACGAGACCACCAAGTTTGCCGGTCCAAGAGAGAGGCACCGGCGCTGTCCTGAGAAGGTGCGTGGTCCCTCTTGACTGCCCATGCGCGCGAGGCTGTGTAGGCATAGCCTCGAGAGGGCCAGCAGCCAATCCGAGGTGCCACACTTCGGATGGTGCTCACCTCAACACCTTGGGTGCAGTCCCTCTGACCCTACCCCCGGTGCCGGTGTGGGCGCTGGCCGGCACACTTAGGTAGAGGTACAGTAAGGTACAGACATGGGCCACTTACCTAAGGTGGAGGTATAGGACACCGCGCGCTACCTCGGTAAAGGTACGGGTGAGGTATGTGGGCGCCTCGCCGGACACACGCTCGCCCCCTCCCGACGGCCCCGCCCGACACGCTACTCATGCAGCGTATGGCGTGTTCTGGAGAACACCGGCGCGCTGGAGCAGCGACATGTCGACGCCACCGAGCGGGTCGGCGGAGGGTGGGTCGGCGGCGTGGCCGGAGGTCGACGGGCTGGCCGAGCCCGAGGATGGCGCAGCCGAAGCGGCAGCATCGGAGCTATGGCGTCCGAGTCGCAGATGAAGCGGATGCCGGGCCCAGTGTGCGCGGCGCCCCAGGCCTTGCCGTGCCGCACGAACGTGTGCCGCTCCGTGAACACGACGGCCGTGCCCGTGTACGACGCGTTCTGCTCCGCGCCGGTGAGGTGCGGGAAGACTGAGTGCTTGCCCGGGAGCCGGCTCTTGATGGCTAGCTTGACGGCCCTCGAGACTGTCAGGGACAGCGGGCCCGGGTACTGCTTGATCACGTCCATGCCCATGGACTGGAGCGTCGCGTTCTGCGTGGAGGAGGGCTTCTCGGGCGCCATGAGAGCTATGTCGTTGCGTTTCGCGCGACGGGCGGTGCACACCTTATTCGCGCGCACCGCCGGTGTGAACGTCTCGAGAGTACCCCAGGTACCGGTGTGGACAAGTGGTGGGTACCTCGGTATATGGTGCGCTGAAGGTATAGCACTCACTCACACACCTAGGTAGCGGGTGTGGGCGCTGCGCGCCTACCGACATGTCGGTACAAGGTGTACACCTGCACCTTCCGTAGCGTGGCCGAGGTGACGCGCATTGCGCCAGAAGCGTGCACGCAGCTGGAAGGACACCTTCCTACTGGCCGTACGATCAGGTCGTCACTGAATGCTTGATACTAAGGCCGCGAGCTATGCAGGTGATCAATTGTGCATCATGGCACGGTCAGCTGCGCCGACAGGCTGTCGCAAGGCGTGATAGCATGGCCGCAAGTACGCCGAATGATTCCCATGAAAACAAGTAAAAATTTCGAAAAAAGAAAAAAAACTCCAAAAAATCGGCGCCTGCGGCGGGCCATGGGACCCCATCTCCCCCCCGCATGGACACCCTCTGGGGCCCCCGCGCCGGCCCAGAGTCGAAGAAGCGCTGGGGTTTGAGCGGCTTCGTGAAGAAGTCGGCAAGGTTCTCGTCGCTGCGGACGAAAGGAACACAGATCTTGGCTTCCTCGATGGCCTCGCGGATGAAGAAGTGGCGCCGCTCGACGTGCTTGAGCCTGCCGTGGTTCTCGGGGTTGTAGGCTGAGGCAATGGCGGCCTGGTTGTCACAGTACTGCTTGGTGGGCGGGGCCTCGGGAGGGGTGACGATCTCGCCGTCCTTGACGTACGACTCGAGCTCGGCCTTAAGGCGACGGTAGCTGAAAGAAACCGATGACGTCACGTATGATCAAGACACCGCACCTGGGCGTTTCCGCGAAAATTGAGAAACCACGGCGCGCCTGCGCCGCAGGCGCGCCGGCTGCGCCGCCAGCTTTAGATGGTCTCCACCGAAAACAAAGAAATCCCGCCGCCCGGGGCGAGGGTGCGCGAGGGTGCGCGAGGGTGCGCGCGTGCGTGCGCGAGGGTGCGCGATATTGCGCGACATTGCGCAATATTGCGCGATATTGCGCGATATGCGC